TTAATTATTCTATATGAAATATATAAAATTACTATTTTATCCTCTTTAGAATTGTGGTCAAACTAAATTTTTTGAGGAAAAATGGAGCCGCGTGCATTTGAAAGGTTAAGATAAATTTTGCGAAGATTCAAAATATTTGGGACCGTGCTAATTCCTAATTATTGCGCAAGTGTGAGTTTTGGGACCGTGCTACAATTATTCCTAATTATTACGCGACAGAGTGACTTTAGGATGACTCTAGCTACCAATTTACCCAGGGATAATGCTAGAGGTACATAAGCATTTACATAAGGGTGTCCATAATACTGATGTGGCAATCATCCGATCATTGATGTGTAAGTGTCAGATTTGAATTAAAGGTGGGATCACATGCCACATCAGTATTATGGACACCTTTATGTAGATGCTTATGTACCTTTAGCATTATCCTTTACCCAGAGGTTTTAACTTTTTAAGATTGCACTGTCAAAACGAAAGATTCAGACCTAGTTCTAGTTTTAAAATGTTATGTACCTTAAAATGAAATTTTCTTTAAATGTTTTGTAGTGCTGTCTTTGCAACGCTCTTTTAAATTTTTTTTTTATATAGTGTTTGATTGCGAGTAAGAAATTTGTATTAAAAAAAAAAATTTAGGCAATAAAACTTATTTATATGAAAATTATTAATTAAATGTGATTGATTGATTTAATTTTCAACTTAGAAAATATTATATTTGTCTACTTTTTGTTGGTGGGTAGATGAGAGAAAGTGTGAATTACCTGAAAAATAAAAATTATTCCTACCTAAAAAATCCTTATTTTTGAGGAAAAATATGGTCACATAATAAAAAATTAGAAAATATTTTTCATAGAAAAAATTGTCAATCGCACACTTCAAAAGTAGAAATTTGAATGGAAAAAAATAAAATTTTCCATATGAAAAATAATGCCCATCAAAAACACTTTGAGAAATTCCACCAATGGTCCAAATTTATTGTTTTCAAAATACGTTAGTATTGACATGTAAAAAGGAAGATGTCAATCTCGAATCTTTCTGTATTGTACAATCAATAAAAAATGGTTGGAATCTACAAGTCGTCCAGATATTTTATTAAATTGTCATCTATCCCTTGCGTGTCTAATTTTATGAAGTTAAATTTCACCATTTCAACTAGAAATGGTAATTTAGATAGAGACATTCCCGTATAACGACTTTATGAAAAGTTGACAAATATTTGTACCAATACGCAGGTTTGATTGTACACTTAGGTTTAAAAACGACGTTGAGAATTTTAAATTTCCAATATTTTATGTGATGGAAATCTATTTTTCACTATGCAACTAACATAATGATTTTTTCAAGATTATCTTATGTCGAAAGAACTGCAAGTGCAACTAACACAATGATTTTTTCAAAATTATTTTTCCCCTTCTAAAGCAACATATTGATTGTTGTCCGAAGATTATATTAACAATTTTACCAATGCTTTCATATTTTATTAGATATATGAAGTTGGATGTCTGTTTTGGACTAATTTGTATCGTATGAGTATTTATTTTTACGCTACTTTTATTCATATATTTCGTGAATCCACAAATGTTATTCACTTCTTCATTTTCAGTATATTATAACATAATAATGTCGAGATGCAAATTAGTGATTTTGTTGCATAAAGATATTCTTTTCAGTTATTTAATATTTTAACAATAATAATATTGAATACAAATCATCTTAATATGTAAAAGTAAAAGAAAGAATACTTTTTACTAATACAAATAATTTACTTTTTAAGTTTTTCCAGGTTGAGAAAATGAGTTTAGTAGAGAAACTTGGTCTTTTAAAACGGTGTGCAAAAAGGACTCGACATTGTTACAGTAATAACCAAACACGACCAATTTTTTCTTTAAATCGATCTTAAATAAATTGCAAATAAAGTCGAAAAAGAAAAAGAAAAAGAAAAAAAGAAGTCTAAAGATGGATCATTTTCAACGCTAGAACCTATAACTCACAACGCAAGTTAGTAATATTGGGAATTACCAGAGAACCTTACCATAGTTTTCCGAACCTTATTAAAGAACAAACCCATGCCAGAAATGTGAACCAAATTTCACAGGCACAAGACATTTGAATTATTCGTGTAAATTCTGTGTGTACAACATGGTTCACATCAAGTGTAAAAATCGAGACCATTGACTGTTTAGTATTGTTAAAATTAATGACAAAACTGTATCCCACTCCCACATTGCCCAATGTCAAAAAAAAAAAAAAACTATCAACCATGAGTACCACCTTGAAGTCTTCAAGCTTAGAAACAGAACTCACTCAAGAAATAGGAAAACCATAGCCACGAGCAGAACCCTTAAATCATAAATATTCCAGCATGACCTAATGAGCATAGCATTAATCTTCTATTGCATATATGTCCATGAAACACATTCATTAGATAACTGCAGTTAAGGAACATTCAAGTTTTTATTGATAATTGGGAACCCAATAGACTTTCATTGTTTAAGAACTAATGCTAGAGGCTATTGAAAATGAAGAGTAGAACTGATCACAAAAGAGTAGTAGAGCAAGAAAGCTGAACAGACGAGACCAGGGAAAAGGGAGAAACAAACAACTAGCAGTCCATTAGCAACATAACATTCAGACACCACCACGAAGGCGGAGGACAAGGTGAAGAGTGGACTCCTTCTGGATGTTGTAGTCAGCGAGGGTCCTTCCATCCTCCAGCTGCTTCCCAGCAAAGATCAACCTCTGTTGGTCTGGGGGGATTCCCTCTTTGTCCTGGATCTTAGCCTTCACATTGTCAATGGTATCGGAGCTCTCCACCTCCAATGTGATGGTCTTTCCAGTCAAGGTCTTAACAAATATCTGCATCCCTCCCCTCAACCTCAGCACCAAGTGCAGAGTCGACTCCTTCTGAATGTTGTAGTCTGCCAAAGTGCGGCCATCCTCGAGCTGCTTGCCAGCGAAGATCAGCCTCTGCTGGTCCGGTGGGATACCCTCCTTATCCTGAATTTTTGCCTTGACATTGTCGATGGTATCTGAGCTCTCAACCTCGAGGGTGATTGTCTTCCCGGTGAGGGTCTTAACAAAAATCTGCATGCCACCACGAAGTCTTAGCACCAAGTGAAGGGTTGATTCCTTCTGAATATTGTAGTCTGCCAAAGTCCGGCCATCCTCAAGTTGTTTCCCAGCAAAAATTAGCCTCTGTTGGTCTGGAGGAATACCTTCCTTGTCTTGGATCTTGGACTTCACATTGTCAATGGTGTCAGAGCTTTCCACCTCAAGGGTAATAGTCTTTCCAGTGAGGGTCTTAACAAAAATCTGCATTCCTCCTCTCAGCCTGAGAACTAAGTGAAGAGTGCTCTCTTTTTGAATATTGTAATCAGCAAGGGTGCGGCCATCCTCGAGCTGCTTGCCTGCAAAAATCAACCTCTGCTGGTCGGGGGGAATTCCCTCCTTGTCCTGGATCTTGGCCTTGACATTATCAATAGTGTCAGAGCTCTCAACCTCAAGGGTGATGGTCTTGCCAGTTAGGGTTTTCACGAAAATTTGCATCTGTGATATTAAACAGAAAGATCATTAGATAACACATAAATCAATTTCCATAAGAAACCACTCAAAACATTCTGAAAAACTATAATTATCAAGTAAAACTGTTTAGGAAATTTAATTCATGATAGTCAAAACATGTTTGTCTAGAAAAAATTCAAAAGGGAGCCAGTATCAAATTTCCAGTTAAGATGATCATGGTATGAGAAAAAAACCTTAGTGCTTGTTTGGTAAAGATTAAAATCCAATTAAAATTGAAATATAGCCGTTATTGGGTCTCACTCGTCTAATAAAAGTCAACATTAACATTAACGGCTAGTTTTTCAATTTTAATCCGATTTTAATCTCTACCGAACACGCCCTAAATTTGAAATCTATGAAGACCCTTTCCATACCCGAAATTTTCAAGGAAAAAAAACTGGGATGCAGATGGAAACATTTGCATCTAATGGATTAAACAAGTAAATCATCACAGCTTGTAAAGAAATTTATCAAAAAAAGGACACCAACCAAATGACCAAGAAAAAACCCCCCATGGATTGTTGACAAAAATCTACAACTCCAGATGAAAAACTGTAATGATTTCTATTGCAAGGTATGGGAGTATGAGCTTTAGATGTGTGGTTTATAAAAATTTAATGTTAAGAGATAAAATTTATAAGGATTTAATCTATACTCCTTTTAACAAGGCTGCTCAAGACTTAATATGGCATCAGACATCATTAATCTCTTATAAGCAATTTGATCCGATTAAGAATCAAAGGAATGAGCATACGGATTTCAATTGATTTGCTCAAACCGGACATGTGAAGGGATAAAATCCCACATTAAATAAAAATGAAAACAGAGATGAATTTACAATGGTTTGGACTACTCCTCTAAACCTTTTAAGATGGAACCTAATCTTCACACGCTTGGGAGATCTATATGTTTTGTTCCTATTACAAGGTGCGTGACTTGAATCCACATCAAAACTACATGTTCGATGTATGGTTTATGCAGAAGGTATAGCTCTCCCAAGATCTATATCAAAAACTATAAATTGTTGTATCACACAAGATTGCAATTTTCATCAAGATCATTCAAGATCTCCACGTAATTGAAACCTAAATTTGTGATATAATCAAACCTCTCGTTTCTGATATTTATTACACAGAATCGATTTATTCATCATGAATTTTCACGAAAATGGATATTAAAAGATTTTAAGCACCGAATGAAAAAATAAAGATCCATATAGACGGCAAAAATTGATTGATTTCTCTCGAAACTTTCCAACTGAAACGAATTGGCAAAGAATTAAGAATCTTCGTGCTAATTATCGTATATATGACAAACAAAACAACTCAATCACGGAACTAATGAAACGAAATTTACTTTTAAAAAATTCAAGGACTCGAAAAACTAAACGAAACGCGATATTAATAGGAGGCGATCAAAGAGAAACTGTCGTACCTTGAAAGAAATTCAGAACTTTTGGGGAAAAAACTAAGAACGGAGACTGATGATTTTTCGTTGATTGGAATTGGATTAGAGTTATGAAAAATTTTGGGGGAGGGATTTTTTTATAGGCACAAACAGGTGGCGACCGACTTATATAGGTCAAGGCGTTAATCACACGATTCTGCACCACGCCACCGCCTTTGACCAATTACACAAGGGTAAAATTGTCATCTAAGAAACCTTCGAACTAGTCGTTGACACGTGCGTTGAACGAATTTTGTATTTATTGCATTTTTATTAGTATAAAAATTACATATCTCTTCTATATATTAAAAGTGGCTATGTAACAGAATTTCTTGTTTTTAACGGAAAAACTAACGGAATTTATTGTTTTAACGGATTATGTAACGGAATTTCTTTTATAAGCACAGACAGGTGGCAATCGACTTATCTAGGTCAAAGCGTTAATCATACGATTCTGCACCACGCCACCGCCTTTGACCAATTACACAAGGGTAAAATTGTCATCTAAGAATCCTTCGAACTAGTCGTTGACACGTGCGTTGCACGAATTTTGTATTTATTGCATTTTTATTAGTATAAAAATTACATATCTTCTATATATTAAAAGTGGCTATGTAACAGAATTTCTTATTTTTAACGGAAAAACTAACGGAATTTATTGTTTTAACGGATTATGTAACGAAATTTCTTGTTTTAAACAGGTAGCTGCACATTCTTTCAGTATTTTTATCATAACTTTGTATTCTGATATCCGATTGAGGCGATTCAAAATGCGTTGGAAAGCTAACTCATCTGACTACAACTTTGATTCAGACATATCATCCAATTCGATCACTATCTATGCCAAAAATAGGTCTCAATATGAGACTAAAACATCGGAGCATAATGATGCAGGGGAAGCTTATAGGAAAGACAAAAATCTCACAAAAAGAATTTCAATTAAAAGAAATTCCTCGAAAAACTTTATTTCATTCTAAACCGCTCTGCCTCAAAAGGCTTACAACGTTTAAATAGCGAAACCCTCATAAAATTCGGAAAGAAATTACATAATAATAAAAAATATTATTTTTTTCAAAAATGGAAAAAATTGAGATAATCATGGATCTTGATTCTCCTAATCATCAAGATCGTCCCCCAACAAACGGAAATCAAATCCGAGTTTATTTGACTAAGATATTGTCAAAACAAAAATTACCATAAACGGCAAAAACGCAAAATTGAGGGCCTAAACGATGGAATTTGCCTAAAATTTGACGTGATTCAGGGCCAAAAGGCCCTGAGTTGCGATCATTGACCCGTTTCCACTCAAATTAGACTGGCAATTCGTCAAAAACAAACAAACCCGAAATTAAATTGAGTTATTATTTTGCCTTCATCATTCTCCACGGGTTGAGAAAAATTCGCCCTCGAATTTGATGGGATAAAAACCTCATCACCATCATCAGAATTATCACCTCGAAATGACGGCTCTGGCGGTAATCTATCGGGAGCTCTTCCGGGAAGTCCTCATGAAATTCCTCTAGCAATGACTGAATCCTGCAAGTGACATCCTGCTCACTGTCAACTGACTTTTCCACCAGTACATACACTATCTCATATCCTTCCATATTAGTCTCGAACTTCACTCTGGTCAGTAAATTGGCGTCATCCCCAACTGCTTTTACTGAGCCCTTATCTGGAAGCAACACACTTTTCTTTTCCCCAATAGTACACGTCGACTGGAAGAGATTAGTACGCAACCAGTCAGTGTTATTTTTCAGGGAAGTCAGAAAACTCCACATCACCACCAATGACTAACCCACATCACCAATCACAAACTCCTCCTTCTCTGCTGCTTCTTCTACACCTTCATTGTCAAATATAGGCGGACCGTAATAATCAAACTCTCCCTCCTCTATTGCTTCTTCAGTGTCTTCATTGTCAAATATAGGCGGACATTCATAATCAAACTCTTCCTCCTCTGTTACTTCTTTAATGTCTTCATTGTCAAATACAGGCGGACCTTCATAATCAAACTCTTCATCCTCTATTGCTTCTTCAATGTCTTCCTTGTCAAATACAGGCAGACTGTCATAATCAAACTCTTCCTCCTCTGTTATTTCTTCAATGTCTTCAATCGTGACATTCTGAATATTATGATCACGGTGTTGGACTTCCTCAATCGGAACCTGCCCACGACGACCACGACCCCTAGGTGCATGTTGCTGCGGCATAAGTGCAGCAACTTGCTATGTCAGCAACTCCACTTGTTGACGTAACTGTACGATTTTATCACGTCTATGTATTTCCTCTACTAGGGTTTCACGGGCTTCATGACGTCTCCTTGAAGGCATGATGAAGGAACGACTTCGGCTCTGATACCAACTGATGCAGGTGAAGTTTATAGGAAAGACAAAAATCTTACAAAAAGAATTTCAATAAAAAGAAATTCAAGAAAAACTTTATTTCATTCTAAACTACGCTGCCTCAAAAGGCTTACAACGTTTAAATAGCGAAACCCTCATAAAATTCGGAAAGAAATTACATAATAATAAAAAATATTATTTTTTCCAAAAATGGAAAAAAAATTGAGATAATCACGGATCTTGATTCTCCTAATCATCAGGATCGTCCTCCAACAAACGGAAATCAAATCCGAGTTTATTTGACTAAGATATTGTCAAAACAAAAATTACCATAAACGGCAAAAACGCATAATTGAGGGCCTAAACGATGGAATTTACCCAAAATTTGACATGCTCAGGGCCAGAGGCCCTGAGTTGTGATCATTGGCCCGTTTCCACTCAAATTAGACTAACAATTCATCAAAAACGAACAAACCCGAAATTAAATTGAGTTATTATTTTGCCTTCATCACATAACTTTTCGGTTGGAAATTGATTTGTGATCATCTTTTGACTAAATTTGATTCCATTGACATCTTCCTTTATCCAATTGACTCCGAGCACTCTCAAATTTTCATCGTGAGGTTCGGCACAACTTTTAAGTATTTACATTTTAGTCCCCGAACTTTGGATCCCTTACAATTTAACAATTTCTCCAAATTTGTCAACTTTTACTTATTTTCTTCGATCTCACCAACTTACATCACAACATCAAAATCACACATCTAATTATTTAACAATTACATAAACATTACATCATTAATTATTTAATTAACCAAAAAAATTACATCTTTATTAATAACAAATTAATTATTAAACAAAACTATTAAATATAAACTAGGCAAACGTGTATTGCACGTTGCTTGCACCTAGTATTAAAAAAAATTAAGATTTATTGGATTATTCAAGAGTATTGAGAGCATATTATTGCTCAGCTAGTGCTCCATCTAATAAGGTGCTTCTTTTAAAAGTTGATATTACTGCACAGAAAAACACGCCAAAAATAAAATTGAAACCATCACGTGTATGTAGATGATAATAGAAACGTTTGACATACATAAAGATTACAGGTATACATGAATAAGAAATATTTGATTAAATCTACTGTAAATACCAAACAACATTGAAATAAAAGAGAAACAGCGATTTCAATAAAATTCAATTCCCCAACATAACTACAAGAAAAAAAGAATAAAAAAGTATTAAAGATAAAAAATTATACATTTAAATATTAGAAAAATAAGCAAAAAAAATAACACACAATATGGAATGAGCCAAAACAATTTATGAGAAATAAACTTTAGCACATTATTGCATTAGGAAAAATAATTAACACACTTTTTAGTATTCTCCATCACATTTTGTGCCTCAAGCAATTTAGTTTCTACCTCAATAGCCAACTCTGTATGCATCTTATCAAATGAATTTTCAATCTATATAAGTTGATCAGATTAGAAACTCTACGCATCATTGAAATAAAAAGGAAAATCTTAGAAGAAAGTACAATTTTAGCAAATTCTTCGAATATTTCAGACTATGTTCCACATTTTGGTATGTACAAAATCAGCCTTCTTGCACTTAAACTTTAATTTAGCAGATTAAGTAGTAGTTTTAGCCTATAACTGAAAACCATTCATTTTCTAGAATGAGAAGGCCCATGTGATTGATGGTCATATGGCTACAAAGTAAAAATATCAACTTATAACTAAATTAGAATTTAAACAACAAACATGCAAAACATAAATAAAATGAACATTTTGGAAGCTGTCGTTAATAAAAAGTTGTTAACAACTTCTTTTGCTAAACTTAAAAAGTTTAGCCATAAGTAAATTATTAATTTTTTGAACAAAAGTTTTTTAAACCTTAGCTAAACATGTTTTTAATAAAGCGATGAAGTCATTAGAGACTCATCATAGTTTTCATGTGAATAAATCATTTGAGATTTCAAGCAAGATGTCTAGACTTCCACCCATAACACAAAGAGCAAATCAAACACCAAAAATATAAACATTAAAGAAGTGAATTACAGATGTCGCAAGAAATATGAAATTTTTTACAAATTCTAATGGTCTTAATTATATGGATTATGCTACATATACATTATGGTACACATAATAGTGTCCATAATGTATATGTGGCACCCCCCTATTTGGGGAAGTGCCTGTGGGCTAGGTTCTCCCCCCAAAAGGATGGCGCCACATATACATTATGGACACCATTATGTGTACCATAATGTACATGTAGCATTATTCTAATTATATATATGCTCATAAGCCTATTCCTAAGGTGGACATTTGACATATGAGCACGAAGGACAACTGATTTCATATGTTACATTTTCTGTTTATAACTCTGCTGTAGGAATCTTTTTAGCTGTGTTCTGTAGTATGAATCAAATGAGTGTAACAGATATTTCCAACAATTTTTTGCACAAATATGGTTATCCATTAATAGTAGAATTAACGAGGATGTAGAAAGTATTCATTATAGCAAATGGCTACCGCAATGTTTCGTCTATATATAGTCATCCCATATGAAGAAACTGATTATATTGGATATCCAAAAATGAAGCATTCTATATATTTGAACAAAAAATTTGCGCAATTTAACATGAATTTTTTTCTTTTTTTTTTTTTACGTTTGATTAAATTAGTATCATAAATATAAAATTAAAGTAAGCAGAAAATGAAATATTATAGTAAACAATAAATGGTTTAAATACTCACCCATTATTTACACAAGTGAATGTGTACTTGTACTTCTTTCTTTTATGTATTCTTGCAACATCATCTAGCGAGTACACTAGTTTTTAAAGCAGAAATCTATAATTGCATATTCATTTGAAACAAGGGTGCAGCCGTCCTTAATAAGCCGTCTCAACAGTTTTAACCACAGGTCAAAATTCTAATATAATAAATAAATGTAAATTGAATATATTAAGTATGTAAAGAAATTTATTACGATGAATAAAATTTACTAACCACATTATTCATATCTTGACGGGATTTTGTACTAAAAGATCATTGACAAAGTGTAACATTAAGTAATAGAAGAGTAAGTTATGTTAGAGTTTTTCAAAACAATGACAATACAAATAACATTTTTTTCATTGTTAAATATACATGTCTGAAAAGTGAATCCATGAAATACAAATCTTAGAATCGGACCTTAGTATTCCAATGGTTATGCACAAGTCTTTCCATCAGACTGATATGTTGACACAATCTTAACGCTAAAAAAATGGAGGAAAAAATAATTCAAGTGCCTGCATAATCACTAACTCTGGAATAAAATTTTATCAAGTTTTATTGTTAAAGTTTTACTGTGGCCATCGGAATACCACATTATTGAGCAAACTTCAAAATTAGCAGAAAATCATTAGTTTGGAGATAATATATATTTTCATAATTTATTTGTTTGTTTATTGTTGATATGCAAATGGTTTGCCGCTTCGAAAAATGTATCGACTTGCCCAGTCAAGTCAAGGGGGTAGCAGGGCGCCCCCTAAAGGAATTCTAACTTTCATGTATGTATTGAAGAGATATAATTAATTTATAAGGAAATCTAACTTAAATTTCAATATATTTTAATATAAATACAAAAAGTACATAGCAAATTATTAATAAGTAAAATTATTTTTAATTTGTGTAAAATGTAAGCAAATGTTATCGCCTAAATTTAATTAAGTAGAATAATGAAATGTTCATTTTTTGGCAAAAAAATAAGAAATAAATCCGTAATTTCAAAAATATAAAAATATTTTTTTTCAGCAAAATGCAGCGTGGAGTCACACTCTGCGAAGTGCTCGGAGTACACCACCGTGCAGTGTGTAGTTTTCCCTCTGCACTATGTAGAGCGAATACTCCGCACAACTTGGAGTAGATTTTAACAAGAAAAAGAAGAGTTGATTTGAAAAAAAAAAATGAAGACTTGTATCAAAAACCATGGAGAGAGTTAACAATTAAGAGTGCTAACAATTAAGATCTTTTAGCTTTTGTCTGCTTATGAATTAAATAATAGTTGAAAAGGTTGTCCTATTCGATAATCCCCGAAATAACATGTGAACAGTCATTTTCTTTTGATTCTATTGTTGTGATTCTAAATATATGAACAAGAATAAAGAATAATGTAGGAATAAATATCTAACTATTCAAAGTCCGACATTGTTTTTATAGCAGATTGGGGAAAGATGATAAGATATAAAATTGGAGGACTGGAGGTGTGAAAACTGGGAAAATGAACAGCAACATCTCATTGGATACTGTTGCATCTACAATAACCCAAAACTGTCATTTTTAATATAGTAGGAATATATAGTAGTCCCCTTGCCCGCAATTGTTAATCCAAATCGTATTCCTATTCTCGATCAAATTACTATTCCAAAATACATAACATTTTCTAAGGGGATTTATTCAATTAGAATTTTTGTAAACTTAATGCACTTTTCTTAAGTGAGGACTTCTGTGAATTTTGTGAATTTTATAAGAAATTTGTATGAAATTAGTGGAAGTTTTTTGTTAACTTCTATTGACTTTCATTTTAAAACTTTTAGCGAGCGTTTGATAATAAACATGAAATTTGCAAGAAAAAAAATAAATGAACTTATTTGTATAGAAATTATTAATTAAATGTGTGTGATTTTTTGAGTTTTCAACCCAAAAAGTATTATATTTGTCCTTTTTTATTGTTGTATAGATGAGAGGGATAATAGATGAAAGAGAGAAAAATAGAGTGAATTAAATGGAAAATAAAAACCATCTCTTCATAAAGAAAATATTTTCCATGTTTTCAAGGAAAATATGGTCACGTGACCAAAAGTAGAAAATATTTTCTATAGAATAAATTGTCAATCAAATAGTACAAAGTAGTAGAAAATTAGGTGAAAAACACATTTTTCATGGAAAAATATTGACAATAGAATGCACCCTAAAAGTCATTAAAATTTGAATATCCAAAATTTATAGAAACTCTTAAAAAGTTTTAATTGAATACACCATGATTTTATAGATTTTTAGAGATTTTTTAAAAGCATATAAAAATCTCGATTAAATACACCAATTTTTTTAGGGTGTGTTTGATTTCATTTATTTTTTCATGAAAAATGTCATTTTTTTTTCATATAAATTTCTACTTTGGAGTGTTTTATTGCTATTTTTTTCATTGAAAATATATTTTTTGAAAATATGCCTACTTTTCCTTGTTTTTAAGAAAAATTGAAAGTGGATTTTTGTTTTCCTCTTTTGGAGGGTTTTATTGCTATTTTTTCATTGAAAATATTTTTCAACTTTGAAAATATGTCTAATTTTCCTTGAAAGTAAAGTTCTGTTTTCCTCAAAACAAAACAAATCATTTTCTTTCCGAGGCTCAAAAGTCTAAATTGATTACTCTGAACTTTTTAAATCCAAAAAATTGATTAAAAGTCTAATTGAATACATCTTCATGAACCAAACCCCAAGAGAGAGGGATGAAAATCTATCGGTGTTCCAAAGCATCGATGGAGATCGGACTGGCAGCGTTGGTGTCAACTGAGCCGTCTTACTCCTATTCAAACTCCGCGTCATCGTCGGGGGTTCTTCGCCGGGTTCAATGGACGCCGGAAGTAGTTACAGTAATGATGTTGATAAGATTAACGGCGTCAATAACCACAATTTATTGGATGATAACTGTTAGAATTTGGGTGCCTTGTTGGAGTAATTAAAGAATTCTAATTGAAGTGAACATTAAGAAAAATTCAGTTTGGAATGCTATTGGAGTCATATATCAAGTTGAAGTTCTATTTTGGAAGCCCATTGAGAGTTAAAATTTGTTTTGGACTCAATTTTTTAGTATCTTATTTCATCAACAACTCTACTAAGACCATGTTTCAGCCAAATTATTGTAGAATGAGAATGAAAAATATAGCCATTATTAGGGCCTACATAATAGATAGAAAATTTGAATTTAAATGTTGATGTGATGGATAACGGTCATATTTTTCATTTTAATGAAATAATAATGTATATCAAGGGGGGCTAAATAGGAGTAAATCATATTAATGTTAACAATACACATTAAATAGGGATAAGACCCTGTTTGAGCCAATTTATTATAGCATAAGAATGAAAAGTATAGTCGTTATTGGGGCCCACACAAGAGATAGAAAATTTGAATTTAAATGTTGATGTGATGTGTAACGGTCATATTTTCATTTTAATGTGATAATAATGTAGATCAAACGGGGGCTAACAGGATTTGGATGTCCCCTACATGTTTGCTATAAATACTAGGTTCTTCTATACAATAATATAATGTGAGAAAATAGATTACTAGAATTATATGATTTATTGTAATTTTTCTCACTTCTCCATTATTTTTGAGTCGATAAAATCTCTTAATTCATCTGCCATATTATTCAATTATTATCTTTATTATTCTTTGTTTGATCATATACTTCATTATTATTTTCCATATAACTTTCAACATCTCAATTCGGTGGTTTGTTTCACAACAATGACGAAGAGGGTGACGTTTGCCGGAATTGTCGGAACCCTGGTGACGCCGATAATCCCCTGCGCTTGCAGTGGCAGCATTGTTCGTTCACCAAGATTGCCTTATTCAGTGGCTCAATCACAGTAATGCTCGTCAATGCGACTATGCGAGGCTTCTACTTATCTCACGTCTTTAAATTTTATTGTTTTGGTATGACCTGTTTTGTTTTGACAATTGCTACTCTATATTTATGATAATTTTTGTGCATTTTATGATTGGTATTGTTGATTGACGAGATTTTTGAGTGAATTAAAATATTTGAAGAGTCGGTCTGGAGGTCACTATGCATGCTGATTATTTCATAGTATAGTTGATTGCTTGGCAAATTGGGCATGTTAGAATAGAAATGGGGTAAAGTAGGAAATATGAATTGAAATTGGAGGATTTTAATTTCTTATATCAGTGACTTCCTTTTTTCTTTTCTTCAAATAGTTATTTTTATTCCTTTGTTTATTTTTTGGCTTCAAATTTCTGACGCTGACATTGTTGTAGATAGTTTACCAGGAAGTGATCTGCGATCAGTTGTCCTATAATTGAAAGGATAATCTGCTGTGGCATCACAGCTTTCTGGTGTTACAACGCTTGCTATTGGCTATATTATCATATTTTCACTAGTTATTTTCTACCTTGGAATTGTTGTCTTAATTCGCTATAATAGAGGAGAGCCTTTGACCATTGGGAGATTCTGTGGCATCGCTTCCATTGCAGAAACTATTCCATCCCTGTTCAGGCAGTTTTGTCGCAGCCATGAGACATTTAATGACTATGATTAAGGTTGCTTTCCTTCTGGTCATTGAACTTCGGGTTTTCCCCTTGATGTGCGGTTGGTGGCTGGATGTTTGTACCGTAAGAATGTTTGGAAAGTCAATGTCGCAAAGAGTTGAGTTCTTTTCACTCTTCCCACTGGCAAGCTCTTTGGTTCATTGGATTGTCGGAATTGTTTACATGCTGCAAATAAGTGTCTTTGTCAGCCTCCTTCAAGGGGTATTCATTCTTCCGAACTAGTTATTGAATTATTTATATTTTCTAGTAACTAAGCTTATATGTTATCTACGCTAAATTCGTACGTATTTTTCCAGGTAGTACGTAGTGGAGTTATATACTTTCTTCGAGATCCAGCTGATCCTCGTTACAATCCATTCCGTGACTTGATTGATGATCCTCTGCATAGGCATGCCCGTAGAATTTGTTGTCTGTTGCTGTTTATGGGAGTTTGATAGTGATGCTAGTATTTTTTTCTGGTTAAACTTGCCAAGCAAATGGCTCCTTCCATTTTTCCACTAGATATATCGTAAGATTGCATTTCAGTCATTTCACGTTTTAATATTTAATTAGTATTGTCTCTTCAATACATCATCTCTTCCCTTACTGACTGACAAGCACTTGTTATTTTGCAGTGTTTCTGACCCGTTTACTGAAATTCCTGCTGACATGCTTCTCTTTCAAATATGCGTTCCATTCGCTATTGAGCATTTTCAGCTGCGGACTACTATCAAATCCCTCCTACGATATTGGTTTATTGCCGTTGGTTGGGCACTTGGTTTAACAGATATTTTACTCCCAAAGCCAGAGGACAATCGTGGCCTTGGAGATAGATATGGAGTTCCTGGGAGACAGGATAGGGAACATGCATGGTTGGGGGACCTGAACGATCCCCTGTAGAAGTTGCCTCAGATCCTGTAAACCGAGACAGAAATGCTGGATCAAATGCCAGCTTTGCCGAGGAGTACGGCAATGACGAACCAGCTGATCCAGAGTAAGTTGCAAAAAATTGATGAACTATAAACTTTTCACTGTGTAAATCTGCCCGAGAGATATTCCTTGCCCTTGCTCTTGCTCTTGCTCTTGGTTTTTGCTTTTTGATTCATTCATTTGTCTAATTTATCGCCATTGGTGTGTTAATCTACTTCATGCTTTTCAGTTTTCTGATAGAAAGCTGGAGCATTGAGTTGGCATAATTTCCACTTCCTTAAACTCGCATGTCTCTTCACTGCAGTCCTTTTTTCAAAGCACTTTTTTGTTCTACTATTTTGCGTCATAAAAGCATTTACTTTACACCTTTGCCTGCTTCCATTTTCTGCAAAGAAAACCTAGATCAGTTAATATTGTGTGAGTAGATATGTTATTATAGCATGATGAATAATGAAGCATGCACACCAATTTTTCCTTTTCTCCTATTACCTGGTCATGATGCTGCATCTCTCTGTTTTGTGTGATTTTATTGCTCTCAAGTGAATTGGTAATGTAAGAACTTCCCCACGTTCTCTACAGTTGTATTTCTGATTTTGTTCTCTTTTATAATTGACTTTCTTGGAAACTTTCTTCGTGCAAATTATGGTAGGCTCTGAGATTTTTTTTTTTTCAAGGACTTTTTATTAGCCTCTTCTTTTCTACGAGTATTTGATTTTCTCTGATTCATTTTTTAGAAGGTGGAACTTCGAGCTTCGCATCGTGCTGCTGTTGTTGGTGGCTTGGATGATTCTACATGTCTTCAACTCCATGTTGATAGTTAGACCTGTTACAACTGGACAAGCAGTCTTCTACTCCCTCCCGACAACACATAGCATCAAGTGCAACGGTAAAGTAATTGGTGAAGTTGGTTAATTATCCGCTTATTTTAACTTTGAAAGGGATGAAGCTAAAAAATTCACTCTTGCTATGATCCTCTTTAGAATTATATGCTTTAATCATTGGAAGATATGTTATTTGGTCTGCCTTGGCTGGAGTGAGATATTGTGTCGAGCATACTAGGAGACGAAGTACTGGAGTTTTGCTTGGTCAGATTTGGAAATGGTATGGCATTATTGTCAAGAGTTCTGTGCTGTTGTCAATATGGGCAAGAATGGGTAATTCTGGTTATGGCTAAATTATATCACAAGGAATTTTTTCTTGTTAACTCTTGTTCTACTTCATGGTCCAGATATTTGTCATTCATGTGTTAATTGGACTGGCATTTGAACTTCTGGTGATCGTTCCTATGCAGGTTCCTGTAGATGAGAGTCCAGTATTCCATTTGCATCAGGATTGGGCTCTGGGTCTAATCTTTCTGAAGTTTTGGACTAGGCTGGTGAGTACTGATGTATGTTGTCACCTTTGTGCTGTTCCTTTCTAGGGGCAGCATTAGCTTCACTTTATTGCATAACTAACCTGTGTACCCATTATGAGTATTTTCCTGGACACTTAATTAACTTTGTTAATCAGGTCATGCTCGATCATGCTGGTGGATTAGAGCTGGTGTGTAAAATTTAAAGGGTGAGAGAAGACGGTTTCTCTAGGCTTCAAGGTCTTTGGGTGCTTCAGGAGATCGTGTATCCAATTATCATCAAGCTGCTTTTACTGCATTTTGTGTTCCATATGTTTTAGCAAGATGCAGTGTTTGGCTACCCATTAGTCATGAACTCAACAATGTATCGATTTGCCTTGGATTCAGTTTGCTGTGCTTCTGTGCTAAACGGTTTCATGTACGTCTCACCAACTTCCACAATTCAATACGTGATGACCGATAATTGATTGGTCGCCGACTCCATAATTATAGAGAGAATTGGTAAAGGCAAATTAATTCTTGCACTCAAAGTTCTAAAGAAAGTGGCACCGGTTATGCTCAAAATAATTGGGAAGCTGCACATGTAGGGATGAGACAAAGGCATGCTATTCACCAAGATGCTTGACCTAAGAGGTAACTATTAAGCTCGCGTGGCGTGAATATATAACTGGTTTAAAAGGTTATGGTACCCCTTATTGTGAAAGAGGTTGGGTAGTGCAGTTCGGGTTAGGTTACGAGGGCCTTTTATGAATAACTATAGAGCAAAAGCTCTAATCGTTAACAAATAAAAATACTTAAAAATGTTTAACTATTGGGAATGAAATACTTCAAAGTGATCAAAATCTTGAACCAACAATCGTGAACAAATAAAAATTAATCAAACGGAGAAGTACAAGTACACAATGGTAAACGATGCCCGTGCAAGTTCTCTAGGAATAATTCAGGCAATCCTACCAGAAAACATAATTTGCTCATCACCACAAACGATAGAAATGAAAATCAAAATATTCCAAAACCTTATTTATAAGTTTGAAAATAGAAAACCCAACCATGCTTTTAATGTTCAAAGAAATGAAACACCAACAGAAAATGTCACGAGTTCCCAAGTCATCAAGCGTTCTAGAGTATAACAAACCATAACATAAACTTGCATCGAAATTTTAGCACAAGTATTTAAACCCACAGCATAAAATTCAACCTACATTTCACATAAAATCATTAATTCAATGCCAAAGCAGCCAACTGTTCAGCCAGGCTGCTGGCCTGCTGCTGAGACATGTTCCTCAGAACCTCCATAGCCTCTGCAACCTTAGCTTTTAGAGCATCTGGTGATTCCAGCAAGTGTAAAACTTCCGTCTGGTCCATTTCCAGAAGCATGCCAGTCACCTTCGCTGCTGTGTCAGCCTCTATCTGTTCGACCAGTGGGTACAGAATTTCGCCCAACATCTGCAGACAAAACATTCAACTCCACATTCAAATTACTATTAATGATACACATACAAGACGTGTTAAATTTTACCAAATAATGAATAAGAATTATTCAGTCAATATCTAAAAGGATATTAGTCCCCCGACTTAAAGGATGAACATGTACATCCATATCAAGTGAACATTATTGTCAAATACACCACTCATAGCTGGAAAATAACTGAAATTTTGAGGGTCCACTTGTAAGCGTTAACGAGTTTCTCACATCTTAGAATAAGTTTCTTCAAAGAACTTTAGCAATAAGTATCATAATTGGATGAAACGATCACAGGAAAAAGGTTCTGCATTTCTTTGAGAAACGTAAATATAATGGGGCAAAACATAAATATTTCGCAGTATGGCCTTAAATATTTAACAAAAAATGCATCAAGACAGCTGCATATGCATCAGATTTTTTTTGACCAAAAAAAAAAAGAACGGCTAGACAAACGCAATCAACAAATAAATTGTCATCTCCTTCACCACGATGAGAGCTTAGAAGCATTGATAAAAGTGTTCTAAAAAGCATATAAAGTCTAGCTAGGCGTGGAGGGAAACTTCCAAGCTTTACGAGCTTAAGCGAACCTAGGCCTCGTAAAAAAACATTTTCTTATTTTTAATATTATTTTAAATTTTTAATCATTCTAAAAATCATTTAATAATTAAAACAATTCATACCAAACATCTTAAATTGCAAAATACTATATTTATTAATAATTCCTATAATTAGTCAATTATACAGTTTTTGAATTTTTGAAATGCAAAAATTAGACTATTTTTCATTGTTTCAATTTTCAACTAGACAAATCCTACTTAATAGATTTATAGGAACTTTATATATGTTTTCGGAGTTTTAAATAAAAAAAATGAGTCTCAAAATCATAATTACATAATGTAATAACACTGTAACGTAAATCTTATTTAACTCTTTATTAGATAAAGTCATTTTTTAATTTTTGTACATAAAAAGTCTTTTAAAAACTAGAAATTAAAATCAAATAAAAGGTTTTTAAAAAAATTAATAAACTAAGTCAAATAAAAAAACTTTAAAAAAATAAAAATTAATAAATAACGTCTAGGGAAGACGAAAAAGTGGAAGGAAAAAATCCAGCCGTTTAGGAATTGGAAAAAAAAAGCGACTAAATGCGAAGCAAGACATTTTGCCCCAACTTCGAGCCTAGGCGGCACCATTTAGACGAGCTTTTTAGAACACCATTGAAAAATGATTTCTTGCAGATTAGGAGTGTGTTTTGGAGAAATTTTTGTGGGATTTTAATCCAAATGCTAGCCGTTACAGTCAACCAGTGTGCCCCATCTGCGAGAGAGAGAGTCCAAAATGATGGCTGATATGATAGTTAACGGCTAAAATTTTGATTAAAATCCTGATTAAAATTTCTCCCAAACACACCCTAGATCTTAACTGAGATAGAAAATTTGAAACTAGAGCAGCTGGAATGACGATAAATTCTATCTTTGGAAAGAAATATAACAGTAACACTATGGCAACCGCAGGACTATTATCATTGGACAGATACTCAGAACAGATATAACTTTGACGTGCAATAGTATCCAAACCAGATTGAAAATCCGTCCTTGTAAAAAGAACTAATCAATCAAGGACGTGGAAGAAAATGCTTACAGTCCTCTGTTCTGTGGGTGACGCATTTGCAAGAGCAGATGCCAAAGCTCCAATTGGCTGAGGCATTCTCACATTACGCAATGGCATATTACCCATTTCATATGGGACAGAAAGCATGCCACCAGCAAAACCTTGCATGGAAACATCTGGCATTCCATGCCCAGGAGGATAACGGTAGGCACGTCCCCTTGGAAGCATCTGAACCATAGAAATGATATAACATTCAAGAAATGTTTTGAAGGAAAAAAAGGCACAAGTTAATGCGTCAAAAACCTGTTGCTGCATTACTGGAACTGGCTGCGGGTTCTGCTGCATCGGAACAGTATTGGAACGTCTGCCACCAGGACGTGGACCTTGCTGCCCTTGCTGAACCAGAGGCACAAAGACATTTGGCATAAGAGGTCCAGCAGACCTCATACCAGGAACAAGTTGCTGTTGATACCCAAATCCAGGCTGTAAAATCAGGCAAAAGATTTGTCGTCAATATCATCAAGTCACGAATATTGCCTACACCTTAAATCAGTGGGAATATTTCTAGAAAACAACAATATTAAGATATAATTACTTGTGGAGGAATTATGGTAGGTCGAGGTTGCCCATAGAATATCTGTTGCCCTAGACCAGGACCACCTGGGGCATACATTGGCATCCGAGGAGTGACTGTAGGCGCCATAGTAATTGAGCGTACTTGAGAAAATTGAGCCTAGATAAAATGTTTTGTAAAAAACAAGTTATTCACGTAATTATTCACAATGTATTATACCACAAACTGAGACATACAGCTCAACATAAAAGAAATGCATTAAATTCACAGGTCATTAAAGCATTGAAGAAGAAAGTTTTTCTTTCAACGTGGAGAATGAAGAAAGCAACAGCACTAGAGTTCAATTATATGTTGCATATAGCAACAAGGCAATATTTTGCCCTTAATTTTTTATTTTTCAATTTTCTCATCACTGGCTTCTAGAGTAATAGATTGAAGTGAAAGGAGCCTAGGAAATACCTGTAACTGTGCTCTTCTATCTTCTTTCCTTTGAGCAAGGGCAACATAAAGAGGTTTGCTAACAATAATCTTGCCATTCATTTCTAAGAGACCCCCCCCCCCCTTCAAAAAAAAAAAACTTACAGCTCTGGAAGCCTCTTCAGGGGAAGAGAATGCAACAAAACCAGATCCTCGGCTTACTCCTTTCGAATCTCGCATCACCTGTACAAAGTATTAGTACAATCTTCACAAACTGCAGCTGATATCATGATTAAATCGTCAAGAGTGACATTTCCAACCAGAAGCAGAAACATCAACCAACCTTGCATGATGTTATCGAACCAAATGGAGAAAACACTTCCTTAAGCTCATCATCCCCAATGCTATCATCCAGATTTTTGATATACAGGTTGGACCCTTGTGATTTGTCAACTGCTTCCTTCATGCTCTGCTCAAATTGGAGTTTTAATTCTAGCTCCCTCTCATATTTCTTTTGGGCCCTTCCAACATACCATTCCTTGTTATCAAATTTCTTACCATTAAGCAACTGAACAGATCTAGCAGCATCCTCTGCATTCTCAAAGTTAACAAATCCGAAACATTTCGATTTTCCATCTTCATTTCTCATCAACACAATACTGGTGAGTAATCCAAATTCACCAAATATCTTACTCAGATCTTCTTCAGTTGTTTCTTCAGACACATTCTTCACGAACACATTCGTAAATTTTGTCTTCTCTACTGACATCTCTCTTTCTTGCTTTCGAACAAAATGTCCTACATAAACTTGTTTCCCATTCAATAGCATACCGTTTAGCTTCTCAATAGCCTTTTGGGAAGCTTCCTCACTTGTGAATTGCACAAAACCATACCCCTTCGATTGACCAGAAGCATCTGTCGCTACTTTGCATGATAAAACATTCCCAAATGAAGAAAATGTCTCGTGTAGTGCTTTATGATCGATTTCCTTGTCCAAATTCTACCAAAAAGAAAATATACGGTAACCTGGTAAGAGAAACGGGAAAAGACCTACAGGAACCAAAAGAAAAAAAAGGTATGAATCAGTACCTTAATAAATATGTTCCCAGCACCACTTCTGCGCACACTAGGGTCTCGATGAGAATACATTATCCTAATAGGTTTTCCATTGAGAGGAGTGAAGTTCAGCTCCTCCAAGGCTCTCTCCGCTATGTCATACATGAAGAAAGGGCATTAGACGTGGCCAGAGAAAAGAAATCAAAAGCTACAACTCCGTAAACAAGTTAGATAAGTATTCTTATTGACAATTATGACAACTCTCACCCAACTAAAATATGCAAAAAATCCTGACAAAAAAAGGGAATGGGAAATGAACTTTATAAAATTATCTAGGTAATACA